AGCATTAGTACGGCTCTAAAAACAGGAAGTTACAGCAAGTTTAATCATTTTCTAGGCAGTTGATAAATGCATCTCTGTATCTTGGCAGAGTTTAACTGGGTGAGTCATCAAATAGACCATAGACATAAACAAAGGTTTCAGTTTGCAGCACATGCTGTAGTTTCATGTGGATGAAACTTGTGAGTGAGTGCTCCACTTCCTCTTTACACCATTTATTAATACTTGAGTTATAAGTATTTGTCTAACCACACCGTGACTTTCAGGACATAGAGATGGGCTGGCTGTTATAGCTAGAAACTCCTTAAAGTGTCATCTAGTGAAGACCCCTTCTTTTAACTAATTTGATATTCAGATGATGAAGACTAATAGCACTAACCTTTTCTATCTGATATTAATCTATAGACCACTTGGATTAGCTGGGATTTTCTTTGTGGAGTTTGGGGACTTTTTATTGTCCACCATCAAGCTGGAAAGAATCCTGCTGCTAGGGGATTTTAATTTCCACGTCAATGACAGTTTATGATACGCTGCTTCTGATTTTCTTAATCTTTTAGACTTTTTTGTGGCAGAATCAGATTCACAGAATCATCTGATTCTGTCACTGGCTCTGGATATCAGACCAGTCTGTCGTGAGGACATTTTTATAAGCGATCATAAACGTCTTTTATTTGATCTCTACTTTATCTGTGATCTGAAGAAAAAGAAGGAAAATAAAAATATATTTCTATTTCCTGTGTGCCCTTTGTTCATGTGAAGCATTTACGACTAATTACTGACTCTGTGGTGGAAGAATTTGGAATTATTTGATAATAATCTACCTGAAACTGATGATATGGAACAGCATGTGGCCTCCTTCAATTCACAATGTCTAAAAAGTCTTGAAATCAGGAAAGGTGGCACTGTTAAATCCCCGCCCTGGTTCACAGAAGCTATCCGCAACTTTAGGTTAATTTGCTGTAAAACTGAGCACCAGTGGAAAGCCACAAAACTTGAGGTTTATAAGCTCCACTTGAAAGAACTATTATCTACCTTTAACGACAGTGAAAGATGCAAGAGCCACTTATTTCTCTAAACGACCCGCAGCAGGAAAAAGAAACCCTAAGGTTCTCTTCGATACAGTGAAAAACAGCCCCTTCAACTGTGATCTCCCAAACCCCATAATTATGGAATCTTTTCACCCAGTTTCTTTAAAGCATCTATCAGAAATACTTACTCAAATGAAACTTTCAACGAGTCTGAAGAAGATGCTCAAACATTTTTCTAATTTTTAACCTTAGAGAGCTTTGTTAGGATGCCTGGGTTGTTGACCCAGGATTTTGAATTTATTATACTATTTATCATTTCTAATCTTGGGTTTCTTTGTTAGAGTTCTCTTTTATGGTTTATGTCTCTGTGCATCCTTAGTTGCTGTCTCCCCTGTCTGCGATATCCCCGTGTCCAGTCAGTGTCTGTGTCTGTCTCTGTTCCCTCTGTTGCAGTGCGTGCGTGTTAGTCTTTAGTTCAGTCTGCGTCATGTTTCCTGTTTTATTTTGAAGGTCCATGTCTGATGTTAATGTATCTGGTTTCGCTCCCTCTGTGTATTTAAGCCCTGTGTTTCTCTGTGTCCGTGTCGTGATCTACCCTCGTTTATGCTGTGTGTTCCATCTGCCTGCTCATGTAAGTTTATTTGGCTTTTTGGATTTTTGGATTTTTGTTACGTTTTGCCATCCAGCAATAAAAGCTGAGTTTTGAAATACACTTTTGCCTGCCGTGAGTCTGCACTTTGGGTCCTATTCCTGCCTGCACACAGCGACACCTGACAAGCTTTGTATCACATTTTGTGAGCATCTTAACAACGGAAAATGATGAAAACCAAAAATCCCACTGTTGACATTTAATCCTGATATCATATACTTTTCTTTTTCCTTTTAGTTGTTAAGGGTTCTTGTTTTCCTTATAATCTAAGAATTAGTTCATTAGTCTGTGGTTGTATATTTAGAATAGAATAACTTTCCACATCAATGGAAAATTGTCTTCTGTTCACCAAGCCATAGACAAATCAGTCAAATCATATCAACCCGGATTCAGACATATACACATTCAAAACAACAACAATAAAAACCCATCACAGCATCTCATTATTCAGTATGTGGGGAAATGAAAGCTAAGTTAGGACTAAATAAACATGAAACCCATACTGATCTGCTGTTCATATTTTTAAGACTATATTAAAGCATTCCAGGGTCTCGACTATAACCTTTAAGGAATATTTGAAATGAACTTTGACTGTACTGTTAGACTTTAGTGCAACCACTGCTTGAATTGTAAATGATGAGTCAGTCTTCCTCGAATCAGGCAAAAATTCCTTTTAGACCAAAGTTCTGTGAGAAGGTTCTCATTGTCCTTGATCACCATCCCAGTTCTGTAGGCCCTTCAGAGTTTGTCCCTCTTTGTCCATTCATAGCATAACAAGATGTTGTTAATTTCTCCATTAAAACAGTTATTTTAGCGACAACCACGCACACAAAATTTCCTATTATTATGACTTACTATCTAATATTTAATATATAACAAGTTGCAACAAATCTCCTGTCAGAGCTCCAACAGTGTATTCAAACTTCATGTGTCCCTTGAGTGCAACAAAGCTTTCATGTTTTCTATATTATCCTTTTTTTACATTTCTGTATGTTTATCATGTTCTTTCACTTTGGCATTATTAATAATTAATTATACTTTACATGCAAGACATGCTTCTTGCAAAATAATCACTTTTAAAAGCTAGCCTCAAGGGTTACCATTTGATTTTAAAATGTCTTGTACTTTCTGCTCAACTTCCATCAGGTGTCACCTTTGAGCACGACAAATGAGCTCTGCAGCAACAACAACATTGCAGGTGGTGTGCGTGTCATTTTAACAATAAAAGTGAATATTTTTTTCAGCAAAATAGGTGATTTTTTGTGTTGCAGAGAAAACATTTGTGT